TTACTTTTATCTTGGAATTTACTGTTGCCATATTAGATAAAGACCTGAATCTTGCAATTTACTCTCATCATATTTAAATGACGATTTTAATCTCGTAATTTATTTTTGCCATATTTGATAACTTTAATTTTTAATTTACTATTGTTACGTTTAAATAGCAATTTTAATCTCAGATTTTTTGTGATATTCAAATAACGACTTTAATCTTGCAATATTAAGTAATAACTTTACTCTGTATTAATTCCCTTGTTTTTTTTGTTTTTTTAATGTGGCCCTGACCCTCGGTGGTAACCCGGCCCGTACCTTGCTTTACCTCTTGGATCCTCCTGTGTGAGCAGAAGCATGCCTCTGGCGCGGAAGGGCACGGTGTCCAGCGCCCTCTACATGTGCTGGCTGGAGACGCTGTCCAGAGACGTGCCGCCGCTGCTGCTGGTCCGCGGGAACCACCAGAGCGTGCTCACCTTCTACTCCTGAGGGCCCCGGCCCCCTGACCCCCAACGGCCACGTGCACGCCGGCGCTCGGACCGCGCCGGACCCCAACCCTCAGGAGTGTCCAGGCTCCCCCCGCTGGGAGGACCCGGGGGGGCTGGTTTCTGTGGAGCCTCAGTAACAGATTAACAAAGCCGGACTCTGTCAGGTTAACGGAAATTAACGGTAGTGAATTCAGAATTTGTGAGGCGTTTGTTTGTTTGTTCATTTGGCCACACGCAGCTTCAGTTTTAACACACTTTTGTACATGATTTGATTAAAATATTAACAGAAACACAATCTTTTGTCTGTGTTGTTAAGTGTTTCGGGACAGTTCACAGTAAATGTTTTGGGGTTTAGTGGCCCAGTTTGACCTAAAATGATCTGTTTTTCTTCATGTTTCAGAGACTTGTTGGGGAATTTTTCATTTCTTTTTGGTTTAAGTAAATATTAAAGCCATTTGTATGACCAGAGTGTTTGGCCTTTAACTATATATTTATTTGTTATAAATGTATGTATTAAATAAATGTAATAAATGAATAAAATATTACATAAATATTTATATATATACACATGACAAATGAAAAACATGTTACAGGATGCCCATTACCCCTTATAAGGCTTTTGTTTGGAACAAAATGTTACATGTTATAGCTGTTATAGCATGAAATTAGGTCAATTTAATTAGTAAAATAATTCTTTGAAAGAATTTAGATAAAATGTATCAAGAAATGTAATTATTCTCCAATAGTATCTTAACTTTAGCAAAGGGAAGGTGCAAAACCTAACCAATCGCGACATAATTATGAAGAAACACTATAAATTAAAATCAAAACAAAGTTTTATTGCTTTGGTTGAAGTTCGAAATGACTACGGCGACGGGCGCCCGTGAAGGCAGCACCGCCTGATACACTGGTCGGTCCGTGAACGCAGCGCGTCGCCTGGTCTCCTGACAGCGGCTCAAGGTGGCCCTCCGTTAGTTTCCCCCCCCCGGAACCAAGACAGGAACCAGGCCCGGAACGCTCCGGTTTCGGACGCTTTCAACGGCTAAACCGGTTTCGTTCCGGTTCAAAGCGGCGGACGGGGGACCGGAGAGCCGGACGGAGGGACCGGGACACTTCGGGGTTTAGGTGGAGATACCCCGCGGGCCGTAGCGACTCTTACGGGGACGCGTTAGGACATTTATCCGGTTGTTAAACGCGGAAAAGCGCCCGGTCTTCAAGGTGTTTCACCTAACTTCGTTTTGTAATAACGTGCGATCCGGTGGGCGTGTCTTGGCTCTGAGTGACAGCTGCCTCGTCCAATAGGAGAAGGTCACGGATTAAAAGGTGCAGTGCACGTTTTTTCTTTCTTAAAAACACATTCACTTGTTATTTTCTATCTTTTTCTTTAGAATTGATTAATTA